CATCCGCGTCACCCCCGTGGACGGCAGCGAGGGCGGCTCCGAGACGCTGTCCGTGTCGTCCTCGCGCGACTCCACGCTCCGCAGGAAGGGCAACATCATCCTGATCCCCGAGAGGAGCAGCAGCCCCGAGAACACGAGGAACATCTTCTACAAGGGCACCTCCCCCACGCGGGCCTACAAGGACTGAGGGCCGCGCCCCGACAGACCAGCGTGGATCTTACTCGCACGCTGTCCCAGCAGATGGGGTTGGGGGAAGGGGGACAGTGAGACTTTGCACCAGACTAGCTCCTCCAGCATCCGTGACTCACGCACCTGTGGGAGCTGCTACCCTCAGCGCGTGGGGTGCCCCGGGGGAGGGAGAAGCACAACACGAGGACCTCAGATGCTGGGAGCTCTCCGGGGGCCAGCTCGGAAGGCAGCGGTTGCCTTCCCTGGATGCTATGTCACTCCCCCAATGTGCCAACATAAGGGATCCCCCCTCTTTCTAATTAGCAGTGGGGGTCCAGACCTCGGTTCCCCACGCACAGGCCACCGGTTTTATATATCCATTCAGCAGAATCTGCACCCCACACTCCCCGTGGGGGTGCTGGTTAGTCTAGTGCATCTCCCATGCCACCTCCCAGCCCCCCAGCCCCCCAGTTCTACCTAGCAGTGCAGTAGTGTGTGCAGTCCCCACCTGAGAAACGCTACTGTGTGAGAGGACGCTGGCTGCTTCGTGGTAGACGTGGGTTCCCCGTAGCTCCCCCGTAGTGGCTGTCACCGTCCACACATGCAAAGGTTTGGTGCATTTTTTTTTTCTTAAAAACTATGCTTTCTTCAACAACAACAGCAACAACATTGTGTGTTTTCAGCAAAAGGGAATCGCTAAGTGCTTTTCTGCATCGTTTTGTTTCTTTGCGGCTTACTTTTTTTATTTCAGTGTAGGCGCTGCTAATGAAGAATCCGGCTTCCAGTGAGTAAATTTGCTTCACTTAAAAATATATTGTTTTAGAGAGAGCTTTTTGAATGGTTGTGATCCTACTCGGTGTTTTATGGCTTGTCCTTTATTTATTGATTTTCTATATATTTTTTGATGTTATAGATAAGCTCTGCTACTTTTAAAGTGAAAACAACCATTGACATGTCCTCAGTGAAACGTATCGCTGTGAACTTAGGAACAAGGAGCCTGAACCAAAACTTGACCCTGTGGCTACATTGCTGGCTGGCTTAGGCTGCTCTTTGAACAAGTCATCCAAGAATTCCACGCAGTTCCAGGTTATTAGCTTTTTTGATGTCCTGACAACCAGTAAACTAGGGCCACATCGGTGGGTTTCACCTTCTTCCTCATTTTTATTCATTCGACACCCACAGGGAGAATGTGAAACAGATGCAAATGGACAACAAAAGCATCTCCCGGAATAAACGAAGGCTGCATTTCTTTAAAACATCTAAGCAGGCACAGCCTTGGTGCTTCGTGTGCACACGACCGTCTTTGCTCTCTGTCCTGAATGGGGCTTTCAGGAAAACAATCCTATATTATAAAAGGCTAATATGCAAATCAACCAAACGGCAGAATGACTGGTCGCTAGGACGCGCACTGACCACCAGGGGGCAGACGCTCAATGTGGGAGCTGCCCCCCGGGTGGTCAGTGCGCTCCCAAAGCGGGAGCACCACTCAGCCAGAAGCCAGGCTCATGGCTGGCGAGTGCAGCGGCAGTGGCAGGAGCCTCTCTCGCCTCTGCAGCGTGCTAACAATGTCCAACTGACGGCTTAGGCCTACTCCCCACGAGGGAGTAGGCCTAAGCCGTCAGTCAGACATCCCCCAATGGCTCCTGGACTATGAAAGGGTGTAGGCCGGGCTGAGGGACCCCCACCCCCACCCTGAGTGCAAGAATGTCATGCACCGGGCCTCTGGTTATAAATATGGGACTCCCCATTTTGCAGGTATTTTTTAAAAATATATTTTATTGATTTCAGAGAGGAAAGGAGACAGAGAGAAACATCCATGATGAGAAAGAATCACTGACTGGCTGCTTCCTGCACGCCCCCTCTTACATGAACAAAAACAAAACATGCTGAGGTGTTTCCAACATAAACATTTCTGTTAGGTGCAAAGAAGTATTGGATCCTTGGAGCGTAGTGTGCGCTGTTTTCTACACGTTTCTTAAGAATCCTCACCTCCACGCATGACCGCCAGGGGGACCCAAGGTTACAACCAGGCCTGCCCGCCTGACCGGGGCGTCGGATACAGAGCGACCAGAAGGCCTTGTCTAGAGAGGAGGGTACCTGTCATTACCACCCTCTGTGGGGAAGGGGCGAGCTTCCCAGAGCTGCCCACCTCCGGGAGCTTAGGGATGTCGCCGAAACCAGCAGAACTGAAAGCTCTGGCAATAAAACACAGATGCAGCTCCGTCCCTCTGGCAACTTCCTTCTCGGAGCGGGGAGTGGGAACCAAGCACTGCCCTGCCCATTTCTCCCCGACACCCCCGTCCCGAATCGCCTGGCCTTGGCCGGTTCCTAGGGAGCAAGGTTTTAGTACTCTGAAGAAAAAAACAAAACACAATGAAAACAAATCCTGCAGCATTTCCGGCGCAGTGTGGTATTTCCTAATCTTTCCTACTTCTTGGCAAAAGATTTTAAAGAACTTCTCTAGTCATTGAAGCTTTTGTTCTTTACACAAATCTTGATACATTCTTTTTCTACTCAAAGTGCCAAAGGCGACGGTTTTTAAAGACTTCCAATTGTACCACATTGTTAAGGAAATCCAAGGACAGCCGCTAGAACTCAGACCTCTGCATGTGTATTTGATAACACATCTTTTGTAAAAAAGATAGTAATAATTACAAAAAAATTGTTTACATTCCACTGGTACCTTAACTTAGAGTAAGCGAGACTGACAGGTCGTACCCGTCCCCATGTTCGATTCCCCTCATTTGCTCAGAGAGCACCTCCTCCTCCCTGAGCCCTTAGGCTGTGCTTTCCTGGTAAAACCAAGTACTGAACAAAGAGAGTTAATTATCTTTTTAAAGTAAATAAAGTTATGGAAATAGATATATAATATATATACACAAAGTATCGTGTTTAATAAAATGTTACGCAGTGTTTTCCAAACTGATCAAGTTTGTAAAGTGCTATAATGTATTTTGTTAAGTACAGATCAAAGCTATCGTGTGAGTATATTGTGCTAACATCCTAGAAATAAAGATTAGATTTCTTCATCAGAATGAGGTCATTTTGTGGGTTTTGTTTTGTTTTTAACTTCAGAGCATGTATGAATGGTAATGACCTGGCTTATAGAAACACGGGGGAAGAAATAAGAAGGCATCAGAACGGATACAGTTCCTCATGTTGTGGCGACCCCCAACCATAAAATTATTTTTGTTGCTACTTCACAACTGTAAGTTTGCTACTGTTATGAATCGTCATGTAAATATCTGATATGCAGGATGGATGTTCAGGGGTCACGACCCACAGGTTGAGAACCGCTGGTAGAAGAAAGACTATTGCCCCAGGAAAGAAAGGCTTGTCAAACCATGACACAGCATTTCCTTATCATTCAGCATTTTTACCTTGTGCTTCTTAAAGGGAGCGCTCTTAGGCTTCGTTAGACATAAATTACTCACATTGCCTGTGAGAGAACTCCATCTAGACTCTGGTGTTAGCTTCAAAATAGACCCAGCGACAAGCAGGCCAGTGAGTGTGAAGAAAAGATGATGACCATGGTATGTACACGAAGCCTCCGCCTCTTAACCGCCTCAGGACACCTCGCACCCAAAGGAAGACTGTGGGCCACCCTCTCTACCAGGCTCTTGCCCTGCTTAATGGTTTTCTCTTCCAGCCTCTGCTGTCCTCTGAGAAGAGGTATGTCCATCTTTGAACATTAGGAAAACCTAACTCCATCCCCAGCTCAGTCTTTCCCATGCCATCTCTAAGTTAGACAATGGAAGGTAATTTTACAGATATTTCTGGAGGCATGCAAAGAGGTATTTTCAGAAATAAAGTAAAAATGAGTCAAGGACTTAAATGTAAAGATAAAATTTTTAGTGAAAGCCAGAGGAGAAAGTCTTTGGAGCTGGGTCAAGGACCCGTGACTAGTCCTTGGTTGAATATGCGTCTTCAAATATTTTTTCCTGCCTGTATGTATCCTTTCATCTTGGTAACAAGATCTTTCAGAGCAAGTGTTTTAAATTCTGATGGGGACCAACTTAGCTTTTCCCGTTATGGGCCATGTTTTTAAAGTTAAATTTTAAAAATATTTTTAAAACCTCAATATTCAACAGTAAAACACACACACACATAAACAGTAAAAACTAAAATAGTAAAATAAAAAAATATGAATAGACATTTCATCAAAGAAGATAAACAGAAAAAAAACACACCTATAAATAGATGGTCAGTGTCACTAGCTGTTTGGGTAGTACAAATCAAAACCACCAGGAGATATTGCTACCCCTCTGTAAGAATGACTAAACTAAAAAAAAATAGTGATGATACCAGCTGCTAGCAAAAACTTGGAGAAACTGGATCCCTTCCATATTGCCGCTGCGCATGTCAAATGGTCCACCTGCTCTGGAAAGCGGTGCATCAGTTCCTCATTTAAAAATAAGAATTCCTGGGTCGTACCCTTTGACCCTAGAATTGCACTCTTGGGCACTTATGCCCACAGAAACGCAAACTTACGTCCAAACACAAAAATGGCACCTATATGTTCATCTCAGTTCTACTAATAATAGGCAAACACTAACTTGTAAGTTCTACAGAAGCAGCTCTCAGCTCAATCAATATTAGAAGAACTGGGTGAGTGCAGAACGTCCTATCCACTGGGAGTGGAAAACACGACGTAAACAAGTAAATAACCGAACTTATTGCACCGCGGAAAGTGTGAGGGGTTTGCAAGAGAAAGACAGGGTTGCCTGTCTGATTGCACCCCACACTCCACCGGGCCCAGAACCCCCCCAGGCTCCGAGGGGAAATTTGTTACTTGTGTTCTTCTCCTTTGAAGCGTCTGTTTCCCGGGTGGGCGGGTGCACGCTGGTCCTTGGAACGGGCCGTCTGTTCACAACGGTGGTTTGTTCCAGGGCTCCCACCGCCAGTCCTGCCTGGGCAGGCGCCAACACAAAGGACCGACTTAGTCTATCTGTTTTCTAAAGGCCTCTGGAGGCAGCATTCCCCGTTATTTTCAAGTTCAAAGTCAGATGTCAGAGTCCAGGGACTGCAGAGATTTCTTTCAATCTAGCATATCCACTGGTCTCTTGTTCCCACACAATACATCCCAGATGCCACAATGACTCTCGGAACTGGGAAGGTCCTGCTGACGCCCCCGGGGTCGCCCCCACGGACGCTGAGACGTAGGGGCTGCATCTGAAATGGCTCCTCTCCCCCAGGCTTAACGGGAGGAAAATCCAGGAAAGGCCAGTTCCCGCTGCGGTTCCGTTCCCCTGTTCTCCACACCATCACACGCGTGAGTGAACAACGTGAGGGAACGTACATGTAGCCAAGTGACCACAGGAAAGTACTGATATAGGAGGAAAGCACCTTTTAAATATATTTTTACTGATTTCAGAGAGGAAGGGAGAGAGAGAGAGAAACATCAATGATGAGAGAGAATCGTGGATCGGCTGCCTCCTGCACACCCCACACTGGGGATGGAGCCCGAAATTCGGGCCTGTGCCTTGACTGGGAATCGAACCGTGACCTCCTGATTCATAGGTCGATGCTCAACCACTGAGCCACACCTGCCAGGGCTATTTGTTAATCCGCAGACATGGGGAGCAAGGCTGGGCCTACGGCTCACACTGCCCAGAACTGAACTTCCAGGGAGTAGCCACCACCTCCCAGGTCTGCTACCTGCTCCATCCCCTTCCCTCCCTCCCACCCTCCCCC